TGAGTAACAGGAACCTCAGTCTGTGGGGTTAAGAGTTTCCTGTAACAGAGTTGTTTATATACAGTGCAGCACTAACTCATATGCCCAGCCTGCCTGGGTTCAAATTCTTGACTCAATCTTGAGCAGATTATTGAACCTCATTTTCCTCATGTATAAAGTGGAGCTAAGTCTGGCTTCGTGCCTGACACCTATGTGAACCCAAAATATCTGAGACAGGTCTCAATCAATTTATAAAGTTTATTTTGCCAAGGTTAAGGACGTGCCTGTGACACAGCCTCAGGAGGTCCTGATGACATGTGCCCAAGGTGGTTGTGGCACAGCTTGGTTTTTCTTTTTCTTTTTTTTTTTTTTTGAGACGGAGTTTCGCTCTTGTTACCCAGGCTGGAGTGCAATGGCGTGATCTCGGCTCACTGCAACCTCCACCTCCCGGGTTCAAGCAATTTTCCTGTCTCAGCCTCCTGAGTAGCTGGGATTACAGGCGCATGTCACTGTGCCCAGCTAATTTTTGTAATTTTTTTTTTCTTTTTGAGATGGAGTTCCACTCTTGCTGCCCAGGCTGGAGTGCAGTGGCACAATCTCAGCTCACTACAACCTCCACCTCCTGGGTTCAAGCGATTCTCCTGCCTCAGCCTCCTGAGTAGCTGGGATTACAGGCATGTGCCACCAAGCCTGGCTAATTTTGTATTTTTAGTAGAGATGGGGTTTCTCCATGTTGGTCAGGCTGATCTTGAACTCCTGACCTCAGGTGATTCACCTGCCTTGGCCTCCCAAAGTGCTGGGATTACAGGCGTGGGCTATGGCACCCGGCCTAAGTTTTGTATTTTTAGTAGAGATGGGGTTTCATCATATTGGTCAGGCTGGTCTTGAACTCCTGACCTCAGGTGATTCACCTGTCTCAACCTCCCAAAGTGCTGGGATTACAGGTGTGAGCCACCGTGCCCGGCCCACAGCTTATTTTTTGTTGTTGTCTGTTTTGTTTTTTGAGACACAGTCTTGCTCTGTTGCCCAGGCTGGAGTGCGGTGGTGCAATCTCAGCTCACTGCAACTTCCACCTCCCAGGATGAAATGATTCTCCTGCCTCAGCCTCCTGAGTAGCTGGGGCTGCCACGCATGGCTAATTTTTTTGTATTTTTAGTAGAGACGGGGTTTCACCATGTTGGCCAGGATGGTTTTGATCTCCTGACCTCGTGATTCGGCCACCTCAGCCTCCCAAAGTGCTGGGATTACAGGTGTGAGCCAGGGCACCCAGCCGGAAACCTGAAAGGTTTGTTTTGTTTTTTTTTTGAGACGGAGTCTCGCTCTATTGGCAGGTTGGAGTGCAGTGGCACGATCTTGGCTCACTGCAACCTCCGCATCCCGGATTCAAGCAAATCTCCTGCCTCAGGCTCCCGAGTAGCTGGGACTACAGGTGTGTGCCATCACGCCCAGCTAATTTTTGTATTTTCAGTAGAGACGGGGTTTCAGGATGTTGGCCAGGATGGTCTCGATCTCTTGACCTAGTGATCTGCCTGCCTCAGCCGCCCAAAGTGCTGGGATTACAGGGGTGAGCCACCGTGCCTGGCCACCTGAAAGGTTTTATAAAGAGAAATGACAAGCTTAGATTTGCAATTTTAAAAGCTCTCTCTGGCTACATACAACATGGAGAACTGGTTGGAGGGAAGACAAAACACATGGCAGGGAAACCAGTAAAGAGGCTGCTGTAGAAGTCGGGACCACAGGCTTGCAGCTTAGCCTAGGGTGGCGGCAGAGAAGACAGAAGGAAGCTGGCTGATTGAAGAACAGCTAGAAGGTAGAACCAACGAGACGCGCGCGCGTGTGTGTACAGGGGCAAAGGGGGAAGTGGACTAAACACTAAATAAACATCTCAGGAAAGGGCTGGGTGCAGTGGCTCACGTCTGTAATCCCAGCACTTTAGGAGATCAAGGCAAGTGAATTGCTTGAGTCCAGGAGTTCAAGATCAGCCTGGCTAACATGGCAAATCTCTGTCTCTACTAAAAATACAAAAATTAGCTGGGTGTGGTGGCATGCGCCTGTAATCCCAGCTCCTTGGGAGGCTGAGTTGAGAGGACCACTTGAGCCCAGATCAAGGCTGCAGTGAGCCATGATGGCGCCACTGTACTCCAGCCTGGGCGACACAGCAAGACCCTGAGAAAGAAGAAAGGAAAGAAAGATAGAAAAAGACAGGGAGGGAGGGAGGGAAGTAAGGAAGTTAGTTAGTTAGTTAGAGGAATGACTTGTGTTCCTGCCACATTCTTTCATTGCATGAAATGCCTTCCCCTCTACTCCATCCTTTCAGACACAGTTCCTTCCTATTTTATCCATAAAACTCTGATTTTGTCTCCTTCTTTCCAAGAGAGTTTCAGAATTTTAGAGCTGAACATTCTTGAGTAGTTGACATGACTCAGAAGCTACCTGAAGATGGCTGGGCACAGTGGCTCACACCTGTAATTCCAGCACTTTGCGAGGCTGAGGTGGGCAGATCACCTGAGGTCAGGAGTTTGAGACCAGCCTGGCCAACATGGTGAAACCCCGTCTCTACTAAGAATACAAAAATTGGGCTGGACGTGGTGGCTCACACCTGTAATCTCAGCACTTTGGGAGGCCGAGGCAGGCGGATCACAAGGTCAGGAGATCAAGACCATCCTGGCTAACATGGTGAAACCCCATTTCTACTAAAAATACAAAAAATTAGCCAGGCATGGTGGCAGGCACCTGTAGTCCTAGCTACTCCAGAGACTGAGGCAGGAAAATGGCGTGAACCCGGGAGGTGGAGGTTGCAGTGAGCCAAGATTACGCCACTGCACTTCAGCCTGGGCAACAGAGCAAGACTCCATCTCAAAAAAAAAAAAAAAAAAGTTGTTGGGCATGGTGGTGGGGGCCTGTAAACCCAGTTACTCGGGAGGCTGAGGCAGGAGAACCACTTGAATCCGGGAGATGGAGGTTGCAGTGAGCTGAAACTGAGCCACTGTACTCGAGCCTGGGCGACAGAGTGAGACTCTGTTTTAAAACAAACAAACAAACAAACAAAAACACTACCTGAATATGGAGACCATGTGCTAGTTAATTAGTTAACTTTTTTGGGGGGGGACAGTCTCATTCTGTCGCCCAGGCTGGAGTGCAGTGGTATGATCTTGGCTCACCTCAACCTCCGCCTCCAAGGTTAAAGCAATTCTCCTGCCTCAGCCTCCCGAGTAGCTGGGATTACAGGCGCCCACCACCACACCCGGCTAATTTTTGTATTCTTAGTAGAGACGAGGTTTCACCATATTGCCCAGGCTGGTCTTGAACTCCTGACCTTGGGTGATCCACCAGCTTCGACCTCCCAAAGTGCTGGGATTACAGGCGTGAGCCACGGCTGTGATAGATAGAAAGATAGTCAACTTTCTATCCCGTCCACCCCATCTACCCAATTCTTGTGAAGATTCAGGGCCATCTTTTAAAACTTTTCCTCTGACTACACAAGTGGTACCGTCATTAATAACCTGTGCTAATATAAAGCTCTGTGACCTATAAAGCAGTATACATATGTGGGAGCTTTCACAGCTGTATTATCTTTGGATCCTCACAGAAGTCTTACAAAATAGGTACTATTATAAGGGAAATAAAGTCAGAGCTAAAGTGATATATCCAAGGTAACATTCACTAAAACAAATGTGAATGCCAAGATTGAACCTATAACCAGGGAACCCACATGGGATGCTCTACCACCTTCCATGAAGAATAAATATTCATATATATCCAGGAGGACTGTTAACTCTTGGAGGCAGTTACGTACCACTTCTGGGAATCCTTCCTAGTTTCAAGTATTAATTTAGTCAAACATGTTTACTGAGCACCTATTATGTGCTAAGTATGGCACCTAGTGTTGGAGGTGCAGCAAGGAACAAGGCAGAGACGATACCCTTATTCTAGTTCAGGGAGCTGTCAAACAAGGACACAAATATATAAACACTGTAAGTGATAGATGCTATAAAGAAAATACAAGGCCGGGTGCAGTGGCTCACGCCTGTAATCCCAGTACTTTGGGAGGCCAAGGTTGGCGGATTACTTGAGGCCAGGAGTTCAAGCCCAGCCTGACCAACATAGTAAGACCCCGTCTCTACTAAAAATACAAAAATTAGCCATGCGTGGTGCCACGTGCCTGGAATCCCAGATACACGGGAGGCTGAGGTGGGAGAATCGCTTCAACCCGAGAGGCGGAGGCAGCAGTGAGCCGAGATCGCGCCACTGCACTCCAGCCTGGGCAACAGAGCAAAACTCCGTCTCAAAAACACAAAACGAAACAAAAAAGAGTAACATGAGAATAAGTGTGAAACGTGTCCTTTTTGCCGGCACTATGTCAGATTGGGGGATCACAGACATCCTCTCAGAAAAGTAACATTTAAGTTGAGACAGAGCTTGGTCTTCGGTAGGTGCTTAACGAAAACCATTTTCCCACAAACTTAGTTCTGGAAACGACAAATAAAGAAAAAAGTGTACTTAGTCCACACAGGGGCCGCTCCCAGGCCTCCAACCTTCGCCACCAGACTGTGACTGGAAAGTGGACAGTTCCGGCCTATCCACGCCGCCACCATTAGAGCGTGCCGCGGGTCCTCCAAGCCACCAGGAGGCGCCATGGCCTAGACACTGGCAAACTGAAATCTGGTACCTAACAGTCGAGGCACAGACGCCCCGAGTCTAGGCAGAAGACAAGGGCGGCGCTGGGAAGCCCTGAGGCCCTAGGGAATCGCGGAGGTCACCGGGCCCTTCAAGGAGAGGGTATCCTCCGTATCCTCCGCAACGCAAACCCACACCAGTGGCATAAGAACTCTCTCCCTCTGGGACACCCTGTTTCCGGCGCCTTTAAACCGGGAAGTACTGCTGTGTCCAATCCTGACCCTCCTTCCGCACTTAGTCTTTGAGTCCTTCCCTTTCCTGGCTTGTGCTGGAGCCAAGCAGGCTGTGGCTACCAATCAGCGCTCAGAAAAGACGCATGCGTCTTTGAACGAACGCGGCGTACAGTTAACTTTGACCCAAAGACAACCTCTTCTCTTCCGCTTCCCTTGCTGTGAAGATGGCGCTCTCCAGGGTGTGCTGGGCTCGGTCGGCTGTGTGGGGCTCGGCAGTCACCCCTGGACATTTTTTCACCCGGAGGCTGCAACTTGGTCGCTCTGGCCTGGCTTGGGGGGCCCCTCGGTGAGGGTCCTGTAGCAAGAAAAGCATTTTTGACGTTCAGGTTCTTTCAGTGTCTCAACCTTGCTTGCATTCTCTCTCTCAATTCTCAGAGTTCCACGCCTTGGCCCAGGAATTTTTATTCTTCTGCTCAGGATTCAAACTCCAATCCCCACTAGTGACCTGGCTTCCTGACCCTCTCTACTCTCAGTGCCCCATATTGTCTGCTCTCCCTGCGTGTCCTGAGCTCGTCTTTCAGCCTCACTTTTTCGGCTCAGGTTTTACCGCTACTATCTTGATTCCACCTCTCTCTGACTTAGCCTGCAGTTCAAATTGTCCCACAGGCATTACATTTTCTCCAGAGTCATGCCCTGAGTTCGTTTCCTGCCTGGCCTTTGCCTGATTTGTGTTTCACAGTCTGAATGCCTATCTCTTCTTGACCCCAAGACCGTCCTTGGATTTCAGAAGTGTCAAGCTTGGGATACATTCTCCGAGACTCCTGCTTTACATTAGGGACTCAAGGCGTGAGGGAACTTCTAGGACTGGTTCCCAGATAGTCTTTTTGATCTTCCTTGTAGGTCTTCAAAGCTTCACCTTTCTCCAAAAGCAGATGTGAAGAACTTGATGTCTTACGTGGTAACCAAGACAAAAGCAATTAATGGGAAATACCATCGTTTCTTGGGTCGTCATTTCCCCCGCTTCTATGTCCTGTACACAATCTTCATGAAAGGTAAAACGAAACTACATAGAAATTCCTGAATCAGCCTTTGGGCAGGGTCAAAGAGTTAGCATGAATAAGATCATTTGCAGGTTCTGCTATGGGGACGTGAGCCGAGATATCTTATATTTCATAAATGACTGCGCCTTAAGCTAATTCTTATAAATTAGCACTTCTTGAAAATGTTTCTAGAAAGATGTTACGAGAAACAACTTATGACAGCAACATGAGGGAGGGAGAATATAGGTATGTTCTCGTACTGTCTTAACCACACACCTGGCTATGGTAAAAAATTTTTGTCCTGCACAGGGCAGGGATCTGTGGCTGTACAGACCTGCCCTGTGATTTATCAGTTGACTTACCCATAGGAAAATGAGGTCTAACCCTTGTTACGAATCTGTATTAGGTAGTATGTTGTAGTGGCAGTAGCACTTCATAATACTTGGTTTCCAAATGTTTTGGTTCAAATCAGAGATCCTTAGTTACTAGGAGATAATATGTGTCGTGTCAAGTGTCTACTCTGGAGCCAGATTGCCTGATTCAAATCCCTGCTTATCACTGTGTGATTGGACTAATTAATTAATCTCTTGGTTTTCTTATGTGAAAAATGGGAGTAATGGAACCTACCTATTTATCACATGGTTGTGAAGATTTTAAAAATTGATACATGTAAAGTATGTAGAACAGGTCCTGATCCCTAGTAAGTGCCAAATAAATGTTAGGTTATTTTCATCTAAATGTTAGGTAACAATATTATAGGTTGGTGCAAAATATTTGAGGCTTTTGTCTTTCAGTGGCAAAAACCACAATTGCTTTTGCACCAAACCTATAGTATGCTCTATGCTTTTATCATAACATTATAATAAACTACATTGCCAAATCTGAATATTATCATAATTATTACTAGCTTCATGGACTTGAAAAATTACTTATCCTTAATATGTAAAGTAGAGATAAAATTGGCTGCTTTTTCTGTTCTCGTGTAGATAAATAGGATCAAATGAGAAAAAGGGATGAAAGCATTTGTGTTTGTTTTTAAACCTTTTATTATTATTTTTTTTTTTTTCTGAGAGTCTCACCCTGTCACCCAGGCTGGAGTGCAATGGCATGATCTCGGTTCACTGCAACCTCTGCCTCCCAGGTTCAAGCAATTCTCCTGCCTCAGCCTCCCAAGTAGCTGGGAATACAGGCACCTGCCACCACACCTGGCTAATTTTTGTATTTTTAGTAGAGATGGGGTTTCATCATACTGGCCAGGCTGGTCTCAAACTCCTGACTGCGTGATCCGCCTGCCTTGGCCTCCTGAAGTGCTGGGATTACAGGCGTGAGCCACCGTGCCGGCCAACTATTATGGAAATTTTTAAACATACACAAAGGTAGGGAGAATAGTGTAACGAACTTCCATGTATTCACCTCACTTCATTATCATAACTCATGGCTGCCAATCTTCATTTATATACTTGCCTTATGTATTATTTTGAAGACAATCGATACATCATATAATGACATGTAAATCATTGATAAATATGAAAGCATTTAAAAAATAGATGCAAGAGGCCAGGCGCAGGTGCGCTCCCATGCTGAATCCCCAGCAACCGTTGGAGGGCCCCGAGGTGGGGCAGAATCACCTGAGCGCGTCCGGGAGTTTGGAGACAGGCCCTGCCATACGTGGGAGAAACCCTGTCTCTACTAAAATACACAATTAGCTGGGCGTGGTGGCACATGTCTGTAATCCCAGCTACTAGGGAGGCTGAGGCAGCAGAATCACTTGACTGCGGGAGGCAGACGTTCCGCTGAGCTGGATCGTGCTTGCACTCCAGCTGGCAACAGAAGGCGAAACTTCATCTCAAAGAAAAAAAAATAGATTGGCAAGATTTTCAAGATTGAAAGATTTAAATGAATCATAGATATCACGTGCACAGCTACTACTTTCTTTAAAAGTGTTCTACGGCCTTGGGCACCGTGGCTCACCGCCTGTAATCCCAGCACTTTGGGAGGCCAGGCGGGCAGATCATGAGTCCAGGAGTTGAGACCATCCTGGCACAATGGCTCGAAACCTGTCTCCTACTACACATACAAAATTAAGCAGGTTGGCGTGAACGGGCACCCTACTATCCCTGCTACTCGGGCGAGACTGCGAGGCAGGGAATTTTCTTGAAGCTCAGGAAGGCGGAGGTTTGCAGTGAGCGAGATTGCACACTGGCACTCCCAGCTGGGCGACAGAGCAGACTCGTCTCAAACAAAAAGGGTCGCTTCAGGCGGGCCAGCGAGTGACTCACACCTGATAATCCCGCAACATTCTGGGAGCGCAAGGCAGGTGGATTGCTTGAGGGTAGGAGTTCGAGACAGCCTGATCACATGGTGAAACCCCATCCTACTACCAAATGCAAATGTAGCCAGGCGTGCGTGGCACACATCTGTAATCCACTACTTTCGGGAAGCTGAGGCGGAGAATTGCATAAACTGGCAGGTGGAGGTTTGCAGTGGGCGAAATTCGTACACCTGCACTCCAGCCTGGCACCAGAGTGACGACTTCCCATTCTCAACAAAAAAAAGAAAAAAAAAGTTCCAGAAAGGTGGCTGGGGAATACATAGGGTTAATTTAGCAAGACCTTCTGAAGTTAGGGAGCTTGATTTTTCAAAAGGGGTGACCAGTGAAACAGAAGAGGGAGACCCTCCCATAGCAGATTATAGAAGCCAAACTTAGCTAGAAGAGAGGCGATGTGCTAGGGGAGAAAAGGTTGAGAAAAGAGATTCGGGTTGACCTCAAGAGTTTCAAGTTACCTAGTTTAAAGCTTTGAATATTGTTGGGGAGGGGTGAGAGTGTTTGCATGTGATTGAACATGGAGTAGGAAGCTGTGGTTAAGATTTAAACTGGGATGACATCACACTCTGTCCTCTACTTTAATGAGGCAGGATTGCAGATGTTATGGGCTGATGCCAAAAAGGCTAGAAGAATAAAGACAAATATGTGGAAGCACAATATAAAGTTTCATCAACTTCCATACCGGGAGATGGAGCATTTGAGACAGGTATGGGCCAGGGGCAGATATCCAGAAGTTCATGGTGAGGTAATTATATTTAATCAAGATCTCAAGGTTTTTTCTTTCATTTGTTGTTCACCACTGATCAAGCTTTTACCCTTTGCCATGAGAACAAAATACGAACTGAATGGCATCCAGATCATTTCTGTTAAATTGGTCATCCAGAGTTGTAGCACTCCATAGCAAGAGCCCACAGAATTCTGGCACACTTCTGAATGAAAGTGTAGAACACTGAAGATCGTAATTAGTTTCGTGAACATATAAAAGTCGGCTGCCAAGGGGCCAGGTGCGGTGGCTAGACGCCTGTATGCCCAGCACTTTGGGAGGCTAAGGCAGGCAGATCACGAAGGTTGGAGTTCAAGACCACCTGGCCAACATGGTGAAACCCGTCTCTACTAAAAGTACAAAGAGTTAGCTGGGTGTGGTGGTGGGTGCTTGTAATCCCAGCTACTCGGGAGGCTGAGGCAGGAGAATTGTTTGAACCTTGGAGCGCGAGGTTGCAGTGAGGCCAAGATCACGCCATGCCATCCAGCCTGGGCGACAGGGCGCAAGACTCTGTCTCAACAAAAAAAAGTCCTCAAGGGCAGTCAGACACGAGGCTCACGCCTGTAATCACAGCATTTTGAGAGACTGAGGTGGGCAGAGTCACCTGAGATCAGGTTGGAGACCGACCCTGCCAACATGGTGAAACCCCGTCTCTACTAAAAATACAAAAATTAGCTGGGCATGGGGCGGCTGTGAGGTCCCAGCTACTCGGAGGGGCTGAGCATGAAGAATTGCTGAACCTTGGAGGTGGAGGTTGCAGTGAGCGGAACAGATAATCACGCCACGTAGTCAGCGGCTGGGTGTATAAGCAGAGACAAAACCCATCTTGCTCAACAAAAAAAAAAAAAAAAAAAAAATGGTCTGCAAAGATCCAAAGGGCAACATGAAAGTAGTATTTGGTGGTGACTTGATGGGTCGTTTCGAAGCTGAGAGTAAGAATCTAGAACCCATTCCGCAGATCAGGAAGAATTCACTGAAGGATTTAGTATAATGTCAGGCTCTGTACTAGACGTTATTTGGGATACAAAAGTAGATGAGTCAGAGGTTTTGTCCTCAAGGAACTAACTATCCAGAAGTAAATAGAAGTAAAGTTGGGGACCACATGCAGTGGCTCATGCCTGTCATCCTAGCACTTTGGGAGGCCAAGGCGGACAGATCGCTGGAGGTCAGGAGATTGATACCAGCTTGTCCAACATGGTGAAATACTGTCTCGACTAAAAATACAAAAGTTAGCCTGGAGTGGTGCTCATGCCTATAATCCCAGCTACTCAGCTGACTGAGGCAGGAGGATCACTTGAACCCTGGAGGCAGAGGTTGCAGTGAGCTGGGATCACACCACTGCCCTCCAGCCTGGGTGACAGAGCAAGACTCCGTCTCAAAAAGAAAAAGAAATAAATTTGGTCCTTTTTCTGGGCTGTAATAGAAGTTTACTGTACAGTGGGGCGGAGGGATTGTCTGTTGTATTAACTTATTTGGGTTAAAACTGCATCTGTGTTTATTTCTGCTTAGTTCCGCCAAGACGTCACCAAGTGTCTTTTCCTAGGTATTATTTCCATTCCACCTTTTGCCAACTACCTGGTCTTCTTGCTAATGTGAGTATAGACTTCCATCTCCCCAACATCTTGAAGATGTGTCAGTTTTTTAAAATTAATAATTACTTTAAACAGAACTTTTCATTTCAGAAGCTAGGTAGAGGTTATCAAACTTCTGCTCCAATCTTCTCATTATTCCAGGGTTCATAAAAGCCACTTAGGAAGACCTTGGTTACTGGAACACATCACATCTAGAAGTGTAGATGGCCTAGACTCTCCCTATCTCTTAGCTGCCCTGAGTCATGTGAAATAGATAGTGACCTTCTCCATCATCCCTAGAGGCAACAACTCAATCCCCGAGAGAGCGCACTTTTAGACTAATTTCTTTAGAAAAAAAAGTACGTTTTGTATTCTGATAACATATTTTTATTACTTCATATCCAAAAATGACATTTCTAAACTGTGATCTTGCATGTCATTCATTATCTATTGCCGTATAACAAATAACCTCAAAGCTTAATAGCATAAAACAATAGTATAAATCATTTTCATGATTTTGTAGGTCCAGAATTAGGGCAGTGCTCAGGTGGGCGGTTGATTTCTCTCTTCCATGTAGGGTTGACAGAGGTCCCTTAGTGATATTTAGCTGCTGAATGGACTAGTCTGGAAGGTCCAAGATCACTCTTACGTCTGGTGCCCTGGCAGGGATGGCTACATGGCTAGAACTGTGAACCAGAGTGCCCAGATGTGGCTTCTTCAGTATGGCAGTCTCAGGATAGTGGGACTTCTAACTTGGGAGCTCAGGGCTCCAAGAGTGAGGGATTCTACTAGTGAGTAAGAATCTACATGACTTTATAACCTTGTCTTGAAAGTCACATAGACTCACTGTTGCTCTGTCCTATTGATTGAATCAGTCACCTAGAATGAAAAAAGGGGAGGATGTAGACCTCAGCTGTCCATAAGATGAGTGCCAGAGAATTTGAGGTCATGTTTTAAAACCACCAAACGTGTAGATAAATGAATTAAAAAACAAATCGTGGCCAGGTGCACGCCTGTAATCCCAGCACTTTGGGAGGCTGAGGCGGGCAGATAATGAGGTCAGGAGATTGAGACCTTCCTGGCTAACACAGTGAAACCCCGTCTCTACTAAAAATACAAAATATTAGCTGGGCTTGGTGGCACACGCTTGTAATCCCAGCTACTCAGGAGGCTGAAGTGGTAGAATCGCTTGAACCCAGGAGGCAGAGGTTGCAGTGAGCCGAGATCGCACCACTGCAGCCCAGCTTGGGTGACAGAGTGAGACTTTGTCCCAAAACAACAACAACAACAACAACAACAAATCGATTGCCTTTTACGTACTGTGTCCACATAAGGACTGTGCTATAGTTAGATTGTCAACGTCACATACAGTGTCCAGGTCAGTCTGCAACTCTGTCCAAAGTATGCTCTTCACATGTTTTAGTTCAAAAGGAGTCATTATGTCTGATTGCTGCATGGCAGGCTATTCTGCTAGTCCTTCCTTTCACATCACATTTCAGTAATGTTGCTTGAAATTGTGCTTCAGTGTATCTTATAAACTTTGGTCTGAGAATCACTTAAGAAAAAGGACTGACTATGGTGGCTCTCACCAGTAATCCCGGCATTTTGGGAGACTGAGGCAGGAAGATTGCTTGAGGCTAGGAGTTCGAGACCACCCTGGGCAATATAGCAAGACCTCATCTCTGCAAAAAAATTAGAAATTTAGCCGGGCATGGTGGCCTGTGCCTGTGGTCCCAGCTGCTCAGTAGGCTGTGGTGGGACAATTGCCTAGTCTAGGAGATTGAGTCTGCAGTGAGCTGTGATCATGCCACTGCACTCTAGCCTCGGTGACAGGGGACCCTGTCTCTTAAAAAAAAAAAAATTAAAAAAGAAAAAGAACACTGCGGTACGGAACGAATGTCTTCATCTCTTCTTCCTAGTATTCATGTCTACCAAATGCTTTCTTTGGCTTCCTCTGAAAGAAGCCAGTTTCAGCAAGTGAGTTTGTGATTCTTTCTCCTTTCAGGTACCTGTTTCCCAGGCAACTACTGATCAGGCATTTCTGGACCCCAAAACAACAAACTGATTTCTTAGATATCTATCATGCTTTCCGGAAGCAATCCCACCCAGAAATTATTAGTTATTTAGAAAAGGTCATCCCTCTCGTTTCCGATGCAGGACTCCGGTGGCATCTGACAGATCTGTGCACCAAGGTATTCCTGCAGTTAACCCTTCCTACAAATGTGGAATCTTGTTAGATTCAGTGTGCACTAAAACTAGGTGAGAGGGGTAGTTAGGACTTTCCTAACATCTACCAATCTCTTACCTCTTCCAAGATACAGCGTGGTACCCACCCAGCAATACATGATATCTTGGCTTTGAGAGAGTGTTTCTCTAACCATCCTCTGGGCGTGAACCAACTCCAGGCTTTGCACGTGGTGAGCACTTTGAGGGCTTCTCTTTTCCATAGCATCACCATGTTTCAGATGTTTGCTTGAGCTCATACTATTTGCCTTTCCCCTCCTATGTGGTTGTGTTACAGAAAGCCTTGAGCCGGGCCATGCTTCTCACATCTTACCTGCCTCCTCCCTTGTTGAGACATCGTTTGAAGACTCGTACAACTGTGATTCACCAACTGGACAAGGCTTTGGCAAAGCTGGGGATTGGCCAGCTGACTGCTCAGGAAGTAAAATCGGTAAGAGCTTGATTGCAACATCAACCCTCAACCCTTGGTGTGCTTTCCAGCCTACAGCAGGCCAGAGATTTACAGGGGCTCCTTGTCTTGTTTGTTACATGGAACCCAACTTCTTTATTCTCTCACTTCATTTATCTATTTATGATTTTTATTTATTTATTTTGAGACAGGGTCTCATTCTGTTGCCCAGGCTAGATACAGTACAGTGGCACAGTCTTGGCTCACTGCAACCTCTGCCTCCCGGTTCCAGTGATTCTCCCACTTCAGCCTCCCAAGTAGCTGGATTACAGGTGTGGTGTGTGCCACCACGCCCAGCTATTTTTTTGTATTTTTAGTAGAGATGGTTTCACCATGTTTGCCAGACTGGTCTTAAACCCCTGGCCTCAAGTGATCCATCCACCCAAAGTGCTGAGACTACAGATATGAGCTACTGCACCCAACCTGTTTATTTATTTTTTAGTAGAGATGGGGTCTCGCTATGTTGACCAAGCTGGTCTTGAACTCCTAGCCTCAAGCAGTCCTCCCATCTTGGCCTCCAAAAGTGCTGGGAATACAGCCGTGAACCACTGTGCCCGACCTTTTTAAAAATTATTTTTTAATTAGCCAGGAGTGGTGGCACATGCCTGTAATCCCAGCTACTTGGGAGGCTGAGACATGAGAATTGCTTGAACCCAGGAGGTGGATTGCAGTGAGCCAAGATCGCACTGGGTGACAGAGTGAGACTCTGTCTCAAAAAAAACCCAAAAAAACAAATAAAATTATTTTTTATTTTTGTAGAGACAGGGTCTCACTGTGTTGCCCAGGCTGGTCTTGAACTCCTGGGCTCAAGTGATCCTCCTGCCTTAGCCATTCAAAGTGTTGGGATTACAGGCATGAGGCCCTGCACCCAGCTTCTCATCTCATTTCTGTGTCTTTTTTCTCAATAAACTTAGCTAGGGGGAAGGAATTGCCCACAGTAATTTTGGTTTGTATTTCTTCTAGCACTTCAGAAAGCAAGGATACTGCAGTTTAGACCTACTATTTTAGATTATATAGGACTCTTTGCTTGTCATCTTGTCCGTCACTAGTTTTCAAATTGCCATGAGGAAAGGCTTCTTGTGGGAATAAGATTGTAACTTTTTTTTTTTTTTGAGACAGAGTCTCGCTCTGTTGCCCAGGCTGGAGTGCAGTGGCATGATCTTGGCTCGCTGCAGCCTCCGCCTCCCAGGTTGCAGTGATTCTCCTGCCTCAGCCTCCCGTGTAGCTGGGACTACAGGTGTGCATCACCACGCCTGGCTAATTTTTGTATTTTTTAGTGGAGACGGGGTTTCACCATATTGACCAGGCTGGTCTCAAACTCCTGACCTTGTGATCTGCCTACCTCAGCCTCCCAAAGTGCTGGGATTACAGGCGTGAGCCACCGTGCCCAGTGAGATTGTAACTTATTTAAAGGAGATTTAGGATTGTTTGTGGATTTCCATTTCCTTGGCATAATCACTCTGATTATTAAAGACCATTTCTCTTCTGAGCGGTATAGGCTTGTTATCTCCGTGGCCTGAATTCTACACATATTGGTGAAGATAGGTGTCGAACTTGGCTGGGAGAATGGCTGCAGATTTCCTGCAGCCTGAAAGGTAAAACACATTTCTGTGGTTATACCAGTAAAATCTAAGCCACTTTTATAATTCTGAGGTCATTTTGGAGTTAATTATGGAGTACTGTGAGACATACTGATTGAAAGGGCACAAACTCACATGCCTGCTGCATGCCCGGCAGGTAATGAAGTAGGCCATAAGAGAAGAGGGAGTAGTGGGGATGTGGGAACATAAGAGTGAATGCATGCTAGTGTGAATCAATTTTCCAACCTTGGCACTTTCTTGTGGGGGGATATCCTGTGCTTTTTTTTTTTTTTTTGAGACAGAGTTTTACTCTTGTTGCCCAGGCTGGAGTGCAATGGTGCAATCTCAGCTCACTGTAACCTCCGCCTCCTGGGTTCAATTGATTCTCCTGTCTCAGCCTCCCGAGTAGCTGGGATTACAGGCATGCACCACCACGCCCGGCTAATTTCGTATTTTTTTTTTTAGTAGAGACTGGGTTTCTCCATGTTGGTCAGGCTGGTCTCAAACTCCTGACCTCAGGTGATCCGCTGGCCTCGGCCTCCCAAAGTGTTGGGATTACTGGTGTGAGCCACTGCGCCCGGCGTATCCTGTTCTTATAGGTATTTATTATAGCAGTATCTCTAGCCTCTCTCCACTAGATGCCAGTAGCACCCCTTCACCCGCAGCTGTCACGACCAAAAATGTCTCCAGACGTTGCCAAATGTCCTGGGGGTGGGGAGGAGAGAGGCAGGATTGTCCCTGTTGAGAAGTACTGGTCTAAAGGCATTCAAACTCAAAAAAAAAACAGTCTACTGACCAAACACAAAGCATATGAGGGTATGTATTAGGCTTATTGGCTCCTTGTTTAGGGTGGGTCTTCATGTGGTCTGGGCCTTTGGATGTTAGGGTAGGCCTGCTAATCTTGAAGCTGAGAAATGTCCATAGAGCAGCAACTTCTACTAGAACAATCCCAAGGTGACTGGTGTTTAGTACCATTACCATCTCTGAAGTTTCTACTGCAGTCACATGAGAAATAGAGGATGAGTTGATATGAATATATAGTAGAAGGAAAGGAAGGCATGCATGCAGGGGCTGAAACAAAGAAGGGGAACTTTGAGAAAAATAGCTTCTTCATTCCACCCCTCTCTGTACTTGGCTTCCTGCCTCCAGGCTCAAGCCATATATAACAAGGCAGTTATAAGGCAGAGTGTTCCCAAGCCAAACCACTAACACTGTGGTGTTTTCAGAAACTGAGCTGTCTCTCTTACTGCACAACGTGGTCCTGCTCTCCACCAACTACCTTGGGACAAGGCGCTGAGTGAACCATGGAGCGGATGGCGTTGTCCTGCAGTCGCATAGTACAGCAGTGCAGGAACAAACAGCACTTGCCAGCGAAGTCTGTGTGCACTGTTAAGTGTGTGGGAGGGAGAGAGAGAGAGGAGCAGGGGCCATGGGCTTCACAGCATGGCACACGTGGGAACTGCAGACATTCCCTTCACAGCTAGAACTGAAACAAACCCTCTTGCCAGGGGTGGCCCATGTGAGGTGTCATCCCGTCCCCCTCATAATTACTAATAGCTGGAACTGGCAGCAGCCTTTACTGGGCTTTTACTGTGATGTGTTCAGTTCATGTCCTGGGAAGTCCGCTTTTGCCCCAAGTGGGAATCCTTATTTGGCTAAGGACTGATCCACTTCCATGTCACTTACATCTGTGGGTTTTTGTTGTTGCTGGTAGAGAATTTGTGGCTGGCGAGAACAGCATTTCTTTGGCCAGAGCACTCGTGTCCATGCATGTACTTCAGTGTTTCCCTCCGTCCTTTCTGATATGACCAAAAATCCAGTTGTTCTTTGTCCCCCTCACTGGCATGGGCTAACCACTTGTTTTTCAAACCCTTTGAACACCTTGACTTTTTTTTGATGGGTAACTTGCAGGAATATTCTATTGGAAAAGATAACAGGAAGTACAAGTGGTTCTTGACCCCTTCCTCAATGTTTCTAGCCTTCACTCTCCATTGTCTTTTCCGGGCTGTATTACACCCCCTGTGGATCTTCAGCGCTTTGCTGCCTCCACTGTGATGCAGCAATCCAACTGTAACTGACAGTGGCTGCCTTCTTTGGGCCATGGATCACACCTGTAAGGTACTAATTATTGCCCAGCCTGGGGAGATCAGAAGAGGTCTGCATCGAGTTAGTAAGTTGAGTTTAGCTTTTGTGTGTCCATCAGTGACTTATAGTTCTGTAATAACGTACTGTAAATGCATGAAGCACTGTTTTTAAACCCAAGTAAAGACTGCTTGAAACCTGTTGATGGAAATGACTTATGCATACTCTAATCATTTTGCTGAGTCTCCTTTTACAAGACTGACGTAACCTAACAAGTGGGGATTTAATTGGTTGGAATAGAACCTTCTGATGGGATGGAAGTTTTGCCGAAACTGATTTGAAGTTGATCTCCTTGCTGGACACTTTAAGATGGTAACAAGGAAAAGAGAATTTCATATAGTTAATGGAATGAGAAAATGGGAGCCCAGAGTAGGGACAGGGCAAAGCTCCAACAGACACAAGCAAGGCCTGCTTCAGCTGAACAGGTACACAAGGGCATATGACCAATCCAGCTCTTGGTAGTCCAAAGAGAATATTCTATTTTTCCATCATAAAATGTTTCTATTGTTAACATTAATTCCTAACTGACCTAATTAGTTTTATAACGAAGCTGGAGAAGCATCCTTTTTCTAACAAGTAACTGAATTGTGGTCTGCCGAGACAAAGAGTAACACACCATTCTTTTGAATATTTCTTTAATATTACATTTAAATATTCTCTTTAAATACAGCATTATCACAATGTAAAGAACCTAAAGGGGAGAAAATTATTTTCAGAGAACCAGACAAGCTTTGGATTCACATTGAAAATACTACCTGTGTACAGTATGTGAGAAAGGAAATTGGAAAATAGTAAGAGTTGTGGTGAGAAGAGTCATTTATCTAGGCCTAGACTGGGGCTGAAGCTGTCTGCTTCTGTGATCAGAGGCCTAGCTTTCCTAGCAACCATGAGCTAGAATTCCGTCCAACTCAGGTAGCACCAGAAGTGAGATGGACTAGGTTGTAGAGAAGGCCTTTTGCTTGACAAGACAGTTAATGCTAAATGTTAATATTTAGCACTCAAAAGTTTGGGATCAGTGTGAATCACAACTGTAGAGTTAATGAAGGGGATAGACTTAGATTAAGAAATGACAGGTTTTCAGAAACATCAATTATCCTATGGGTTGGCAATGAGCTTAATTACAGATTCATATTCCTGGTTTGATCCCAAAAGCTAACGTGTTCCTCATCGTGCAGCTGGAATCTACTTCCTAGATTAAGCTGGAGCCTTCCTGCAGAGGCAATGTGCAGACCTCACCCTCCCCTTCTGACACAAACTTTGAAAAAGATTCTTTTCTCCATAAAGCCAAATTCCCAATTAAGCTTCAAGTCCTGTGTTTGCGGGTACTAGTCTAAGGTAGGGGAGTCTAGTTCAGTTCTGGATAGCTTCGAGATCTCAGGTACTTAAGACTCTCAACTCATGAGGCTAGGGGATGGGGAGAGATAAGGATTTATGTACTTAAGTTCCCCTCCAAACTAAAACCAAGCAAACACTGGAACAAATAGGAGAGGCAGAATGAACTAAACAGTGTATGTGTATTAAATACAAATCCTTTCAGGCTCAGAGTTTAGAGACTTCAGGGGTGAAATGCTTCTGCAACATACATGGTTTCTGTAAGACACCAGGGGCTTAATATCCCACAGAAAAGGCTTTATGAGGAAGATAAGTAGTGTCTCCCCCCAACACAGTTTTTCACTCTTTTGTGTGTGTGGTTAATAAACCATACCAGAAGTAATGTATGGTGTAAAGGATGCTTGAGAAGAATAGTTTTGCTCCCTACTGCCTCCATTTTAGAACAGAGGCAAAGATGGCTAATAAAAGGAAATCAGTGCTGTTCAATGGAGATCTTAGAACATAGGATGAACAGGAACCGTATTCCCCCGATGTATTTGATTCAGAGGTAAGAACTGAATCAAACTGAATGAGTTCCATTCTATATGCTTCAAAGGTTATAATTAGAACTTGAATCCTTTGGAATCTGGGAATTGCATGTGGCATTTAAGAACTGGCGTGGCTTCCAATTTTTATACATCATCAAGATGGAGGGGTCCAATAAACATTTGCGATTCTTGGACCTGAACTAAAACAGTGTAAGAACTCTCTAACCTGGTATGTTGAAAACAACCATGAGGGTAGATACAGGAAAAAAAAGAACAAAAACTGGTTGGTGACCTTAAGATTGCCACATCCTACATTTCACTAAAGCTCAGATCTCACAAAGAGGGAAAAACCTAGGTGAAAAAACAAGCACAGCACAAATATGTCATCTTTCCAAATAGCAAGCAGCCTGTTCCCGCTGCCTCCTTTGGCCAGTTAATGCTCCACATAGGCCTCCTGTGGGATGGGTGAGCCCCAGTCGAAAGCTGCCTGACAGTGCTAGTATCAGATACGTACAGAAGGCTCAGGCTCTTTATAGCACATCCCCAGCCAATCCAGCTCTTTTTCTCCAAAGGAAAAAGGATGGAGGGAAAAAAAGACATAGACAAGTTTAACTCTAGTACTTAAGAACATGTGGAAGAAACAATTCAAGTTACAGACCAGGAATCCCCAGTGTGGGGAACAGGTCGGAGAACACCAAACATGTCAAATATTAACCTATTTACCAAATAGGGGATTGAAGGAAGGCAGGTTAAATTTTTGTAAATCCTGGAGATTTTGTACAGAAGCAGAGACCCTTCCACTCCCTCCTCCCGAGACTCGACCAGGTGACTTTCTAGTCTGAAGTATTATGACACACCAAAATGGAGTATCAGAATAGCCACCGAGAAAAATGAGCTTGTACTCTGCCTGGGGCTTGGGAGAGAAGGAGCTTTGCCGTGTTCTTCAAATTCTTGTGTTCTGGTCCCTACAGAAAGACTAGCTGCTTGTTACCCAGCTTCTCCTGTGAGATCCTAGTTCTTTGTTCCAGTGGCCCAGAAAGCTCAGTGTTCAGCACTATGCAGCTTTCTCTGCCCCAGGATCCCCAGATCAAGCTGGGGCTGGTCTCCTTGGTACTGTTTCCCTTTTAAAAAATACTCAAACAATCCTTTCCCACCCATTCCCCAAAGACCCCAATAAAATAACATGGGAGCAGCAGCTGCTTCTACAGTTTTGTTTTGAAATGGTGTTAGATAAAATAAGGGAATAAATAGAGAATGGGTAAGAGGCAGGATCTCTAGCCCCTATCACACTGCCAGAGGGAGTTCTAAGGAAGAATCTTCAGGGGGCCGATCCTCATTCTGCTGGGAGGTCTTCACCACCCCACAGCCCTCTTCATTGTCCGTGCGGAAGGGGAGGCTCGAGGGGGACCAGGAAGGGCGGAAGTCTTCATTTTCAGGCTCCTCAGGGTTACAATCTTCGGGCAATAGCGCTTCTAGGGTGGGTGTTTTCCCCACCTCTGATTTACAGAGGGCAGTTGGGTCTGTGGAGCTACAAGCCACCAGTGAGGTAACAGGGAGAGAGAAGACATTCAGATCCTTCTCCTTTGGGAAAGAGGCTGAGCCTTCTTCTGTACCAGGCTCTCCTTTCACTCCCAAGACTGGCCTCTGCTCCACTTGATAATAGACCAGGGGCCCACTGTTCAAGTAGGATGGGCTGTTCACCGCTGAGGCAGTTGGGTGGTCTGAGTTCTCGGTAAAACACAGGACAGAGGAGCCTGGGGGCAGCTGAGCCTGGATGAGAATGGGGGCTGTAAGGCCTGGGCACAGCTCTTCGGGGACAGCCAGGGGTTCCTCCAGGATGCACACACCCAGGCTCTCAATGCTCGAGTCCAGGCTGGCACTAGAGCCGCTGGAATCTTCTTCTGCCTTGAGCCGTTCCAGTTCCTCTGCACTCTGCAGGTGCATCACTGCTGTCTCATTCTCAGCAATGAACTCCTGGAAGTCCTGGGTCTCAGAGCCCTGTGCTCCTGTCAGGCTGCAACTGGCAGTGGGGGAGGGCTCCTCATCTGGGGCTGCTGGGCGGCTCACCTGCCGCTTGCTCTCCAGCTCCAGTTTCATAATGGTGTGGAGGTAATGAGTCCGGACCCGGATGGGATTAAATTCAATGCGCCCTGCCATGTTCCCACAGCCATCCCGGGAGCAGCCACATGGAAAGGACATGCGATCCACCTGAGCGGGGACAAGAAGGTTGGGGCAGATGAGACCTACACTCCTAACAATGGAGATAGGAGACATCAGTTGGCAAACAGGCAGTTGGGATTTGAGGTCTCCTTATAAGAAGAAAAGCAACCAATTCAAAGCATAGCATGCAGTGTGAGCTAAGAGAACACTAGATGGTAGTTATCAGACCACTTGCATTTCAATCCCAGCTCAGCCATTAATTAGTGGTGTGACCTCAGAGAATCATTTATCTCTCTAGGGCTTTGTTTCCTCTTCCAAATAAAAAGTAGACAAAAATCACATCACAGGGTCCTTCCAGTTAGAGTCCACAGATACTTCTCTGAATGCTGATAGTTTTCACAGAGGAAATTTACAAGCCTCAGAAACTTTTTCAGAACTTAACCTGGTTCACTGAGACAACAAAAGGCTGGACCCAAGCCTATGGCCTTCTGCAGTGACAGGCATGGGACAGTGAATGGAAGATCTTGCTACTTCAAAAAATACATTCTGGGGAAACTAAGCAAATGTGCCTTAGTTTGCTAAGGTGCTAGAACGCAGGTTCACACAGTGGCCAATTTTTTAGCTACCTGCTTTATTTTCCCTGAGGGTTGACTAGTTTAGTTCTGAAGCAGTTGCTAAGATAATTAACTTACAGACCAGGGATATCTGGAAAGGAGATGCTTTCTACCTCCTTATCACTTTCGTATTCCAAACGGGAAAAACACATAAACCAAAAATAAAAGGAAAAATTAAAACTACAAGTAAGCAAGTAAGCATGTACAAATCACAATGTCTTTCTATGATACTGACTTACAGAAATCTCCAGTCCAGTTATACCACTTTTTTTTCCTTTGGAGATAGGGTCTTGCTCTGTCGTCCAGGCTGGAGTGCAGTGGTGCCATCATGGCTCACTGCAGCCTGCAGCGATCCTGGGCTCAAGCAACCCTCCCCGTCAGCCTCCTGAGTAGCTGGAACTACAGGCACAAAGCACTACATCTAGCTAATTTAAAAGGTTTTTTTTTTTGAGACGGAGTCTAACTCTTGTCACCCAAGCTGCAGTGCAGTAGCATGATCTTGGCTTACTGCAACCTCTGCCTTCTCGGTTCAAGCAATTCTCCTGCCTCAGCCTCCCGAGTAGCTGGGATTACAGGCACCCACTATCACTCCCAGCTAATTTTTGTATTTTTTTTGGTAGAGACGGGTTCACCATGTTGGCCAGGCTGGTCTCAAACTCCTGACCTCATGATCCGCCCGCCTCAGCCTCCCAAAGTGCTGGGATTACTGGCATGAGCCACCATGCCAGGCCCTAATTGTTTTTTTGTTTGTTTGTTTTTGAGACGGAGTCTCACTCTGTCGCCCAGGCTGGAGTGCAGTGGCGCGATCTCGGCTCACTGCAAGCTCCCCTCCCGGGTTCACGCCATTCTCCTGCCTCAGCCTCCCAAGTAGCTGGGACTACAGGCGCCCGCCACCATGCCCGGCTAGTTTTATTTTCGTATTTTTTAGTAAAGACGGGGTTTCACCATGTTAGCCAGTATGGTCTCGATCTCCTGACCTCGTGATCTACCCGTCTCAGCCTCCCAAAGTGCTGGGATTACAGACTTGAGCCACCGCGCCTGGCCGCCAGGCCCTAATTGTAAAATTTTTTGTAGAAATAGGGTCTCCCGGCCGGGTGCAGTGGCTCACACCTGTAATCTCAGCACTTTGGGAGGCAGAGGCGGGTGGATCACGAGGTCAGGAGATCGAGACCATCCTGGCTAACACGGTGAAACTCCATCTCTACTAAACTACAAAAAGAAATTAGCCGGGCGTGGTAGCCGGCGCCTGTAGTCCCAGCTACTCGGGAGGCTGAGGCAGGAGAATGGCGTGAACCTGGGAGGCAGAGCTTGCAGTGAGCCGAGATTGCGCCACTGCACTCCAGCCTGGGCGACAGAGCGAGACTCTGTCTCAAAAAAAAGAAAAAAAAAAAGAAATAGGGTCTCGCTATGTTGCCCAGCCTGGTCTCAAACTCCTGGGCTCAAGCAGTCCTTCCACCCCAGCCTCCCAAACTGCTAGTTACAGGTGTGAGCCACCATGCCAGGCCCAGCTGCATCAATTCTTAGGACTGTTATCAGGTGTGTGTGTAACAGAATAACTCATTATGGGACTTTGGTCTGAAAAGCAGTATCTGGCCAGATCTACCACAGGTATTTGTTACCCAGCTAAAAATAAAGGGTTAGGAGAAATCCAATCACAAGGACTCAGCATCTACACCCTCAGTAATTAAGTTCCAGATAAATTTCATTCTTTGGGATGGTATTGTCGTTTTCAACTGAAATGTGTCTTAAACTGTCCCCCATTAGAGGGCCAACAAGGGGCCAGGCACGGTGGTTCATGCCTGTAATCCCAGTACTTCGGGAGGCTGAGGCAGGCAGATCACCTGAGGTCAGGAGTTCAAGACCAGCCTGGCGAACACAATGAAACCCTGTCTCTACTAAAAATACGAAAGTTGGCTGGGCATGGTGGCTCGTGCCTGTAATCCCAGCACTTTGGGAGGCCGAGGCAGTCAAATCACGAGGTCAAGAGATTGAGACCATCCTGGCCAACATGGTGAAATCCTGTCTCTACTAAAAACATAAAAATTAGCTGGGTATGGTGGTGCACGCCTGTAGTCCCAGCTACTCGGGAGGCTAAGGCAGGAGAATTGCTTGAACCCGGGAGGCAGAGGTTGCAGCGAGCCGAGATCACGCCACTGCACTCCAGCCTGGCGATAGAGCGAGACTCCATCTCAAAAAAAAAAAAAGGGGGGGGGGGGGCGGCCAAAAAGACATGATACTTTCTCTTTCATGTGACTATGGTTTTAAGCTCTGCTAGGCCATGTCTGATCCTGAATTATAAAGCTCTGAATACTATTTTGATTTTTCAAAATTGGAATAAAGGTACTAAGAATAAGTGTTTGCAGATAGAATCTATAGGCCCGCATCATTCTCTAACTTTTTGAGACAGGGTCTTGCTCTGTCGCCCAGGCTGGAGTGCAGTGGCACATTCATAGCTTACTGCAACCTATGCCTTCCAGGCTCAAGTGATCCTCCTCCCATCTCAGCCTCCTGAGTACCTGGGACTACAGGCTGATGCTACCACGCCCAGCTAATTTTTGTATTTTTTGTAGAGATGGGGTTTAGTCATGTTGCCCAGGCTGGTCTCAAATTCCTGGGAGGCAATCTGCCCGCCTGCCTCAACCTCCCAAAGTGCTGGGGATTACAGATGTGAGCCACAGCACCCAGCCCTGCTTCCTTTTATCTCAAGGAATCAGTATTTAGGAAACAGTTACTAAATGTTACTAAAAATTTTTTTTTTTTAAAGAGACAGGGAATCACTCTGCAACCCAGGATGGAGTGCACTGGTGTGAACTCAGCTCACTGCAGCCTCAACCTCCTGGACTCAAGAGATCCTCCTACCTCAGCCTCCCAAGTAGCTAGGATTAGAGGTGTGAGCCACCGTGCCTGGCCGTGTGCTCTTTGCTTACTCTGTTGATGGAGGAGGGTTGTGGAATTGGAGAGTGTTCACAGCCATAGGGAAAGCACCCCTGAATGGGCCTCCCATGTTCAGTGGCACCCACACCTCACCACGCTGACCCTGGTGTAGATATACTATCTCAGGCCAACTTGGACGGACCTGGCATTTAATCCCAGCCTGGCTGCAGGCACACGCTTCTGGGTCACAATACAGTCGGCAGTCACAACCACATTCTTCCCGTGACAGGCGGATGGCTCGAAGTTCTTGCTTCTCTTCAGCATCAATGCGGTGGACCCCAGAAGCCCTCAGCAGGGCCCGTCGCCGTTTGGTGGGCAGAGGCTGCAGGAAGAAGTAATCGTCCACCTCCACATTTTCCACATCAATATCTTCATCTGACACATCATCCAGCGTCAGGCCATCGGCCTCCACCGACTCCACTGTCCCATTCTTGGTCAGCTGCCAAGAGACAGGAAAGGTTAGCCTCATAGACATGAGTGGCATGCACCTCCTCAATGACCATCCCAGAGCAGTGCTGTCCCTTGAACTTTCTGCAATCATGGGAATATCTGTGCTGTCCAAAATGATGGCAGCTGCTAGCACATGTGGCTACTGAGCACTAGAAATGCGGCAACTGGAAAACTGTCATTTTATTTATTTTTTTTTTTGAGACGAGTCTTATTCTGTCGTCCAGGCGGGAGTGCAGTGGTGTGATCTTGGCTCACTACAACCTCTGCCTCCTGGGTTCAAGTGATTCTCCTGCCTCCCAAGCAGTTGGGATTACAGGTGTGAGCTACCATGCCTGGCTAATTTTTTCTAATTTTAGTAGAGACAGGGTATCACTGTGTTGGCCAGGCTAGTCTTGAACTCCTGGCCTCAAGTGATCCACACACCTCGGCCTCCCAAAGTGCTGGGGTCCACTGTGCCAGCCCAATTTACATAATTTTAATGAATAGCTGTATGTGACTACTGGCTGCTATATTTACTAGCACCGGTCAAAAGAATAAATCCAGAGTAGGAAGATGGGAAATCTTATGCACCATGACCTTTCTGGGTCCAACCTTCTCAAAAACCCGTCTCATCTTCCCTCCTACACAAAAATCTATTTCCACAAATGTACCCTCCATTTCCAGACACGTGTCCCCTAATTTACGCTCACTTGCCTTCTAACACAGAGAGAAAAAGGTACATGACTGGATGATGCTTGGATATATAGAAAAATGTGAAACACCTTCAACTTGCACCCACTGCATGCAAAACTACGTTCTTGAAAAAAAGGGCACATCGAAGTGTAGTAAAAGACTACCAGGTCTTAATGAACCCAAATCCCCACAGTGTGAACAATTATCTGTGCATGCACTTAAAGAGCTCCATTTTACTGTCAGGAGAAAAAGCAAATATATTAACAGATATTAAAGAAAGCCCTTAGCTGAGAAAAAATGTATTCCTTCTCCTTTCTAACTTTTTTTTTTTTAAGACAGGGTCTCACTGTCGCTCAGGCTGGAGTGCAGTGCATGATCTCGGCTCACTGCAATCTCCGCCTCCTGGGTTCAAGTGATTCTCCTGCCTCAGTCTCCCAAGTAGCTGGAAATAACAGGTGCCTGCCACCATGCCCAGCTAATTTTTGTATTTTTAGGGGAGGCGGGGTTTCACAATGTTGGCCAGGCTGGTCTCAGACTCCCGACCTCAACTGATCCACCTGCCTCCGCCTCCCAAAGTGCTACAATTACAGGTGTGAGCTACTGCACCGGGCCTAATCCTTTTTTATTTGACTTCAAAGAAAAGCTGTATGTGAGGAAAGGTGGTATCAATAACACTGAGTGTACTAGGTACAGGCAGAAATCTGGGTTTTCTGGGCTGGGATGGATAGAGAGCCAAGAAAGGGAGTCTCGGTGGAAGGACAGATGGAAGACAAGCCGTGGCTGAAAGAGTTCTGAAAACTCACTAGAGAATTCAAGTAAAGAAAATGAGGCCTCATAATCCCTGGGGCTCTGGAAGCTGCTAGCAGGATGAAAGCCACGTGACTGGAGCCTTTGGTTGATTTCATCAGACAACCACAGAGTAGAGCTGGTAAAGGGACAACTCCTGGGAGAGACGTGATGCAACAGACTTGGGTAATCAGCTACACACCTGGTTTTCTTGTTTGTTTGTGGGGGAGGCGGTAGAGAAATGAAAAGTAATGTGGGGCTTCTGGAGGTTCCCTAGTCAGTGGTTTTAGTACTAGGCAGGCCAACTACAAGGGCCTTTCTGTGGATCTCAGGATTGCTCCTGTCTACATCTCCAGGGTTGACCTCCCCCTAAGCATCCCCTCTCCTACTGTCCTCTCATAGGCAAGGGATTAGAGATGTAACACAAGGACACTCATGTAGATGTGAGAATTTAAATATCAAGATAGAAGTGGCATTTCACATCAGTGAGAAAAGAGGCTTCTAGTTATTAAATGGTATTGGAACAACTGGATATTTTCTGGGGGAAAAAAGATTCCCAATTTATACTGTCCACGATAATGAGTTCCATACGGATAACAGGCCAAAATACAAAAAATGAAATAAAAATATTAGGAAAATTATGGTTAAAATTGCAGAACACCAAGCAGCTGCTGGAACAACCCCAAAGGAAGACAAACATTAGATGGTACATGAGAGATGCAGAATGTACATTTTTTGAAACCAACTGCCTCTCTTATAGAGGGCTAAAAACAGGCCTGGGGCAGTGGCGCATTAATGTTATCCCAGCACTTCTGAGAGACTAAGGGGGAAGAATCGCTTAAGGCCAGGAGTTTGAGACCAGCTTGGGCAACAGAACAAGACCCTGTCTCTACAAAAATTGGCCGGACACGGTGGCTCACTCCTGTAATCCCAGCACTTTGGGAGGCCGAGGCGGGTGGATCAGTTGAGGCCAGGACTTCGAGACTAGCCTGGCCAAAGTGGCAAAACTTCATCTCTACTAAAAATAAAAAAATTAGCCCAGCATGGTGGTACATGCCTATAATCTCAGTTGAGGGAGGCTGAGGCACAAGAATTGCTTGAACCTGGGAGACAGAGGTTGCAGTTAACTAAGATTGTGCCACTGCACTCCAGCCTGGGCAACAGAGAGAGACCGTGTCTCAAAAGAAAAAAAAAAAAAAAACTACAAAAATTAACCAGACGTGGTGGTGATGCAGCTGTAGTCCCAGCTATTTGAGAGGCTAAGGCAGGAGGATTGCTTGAGGCCAGAAGTTTGAGGTTACACTAAGCTATGATCAGGCCTCTGCACCCCAGCCTGGGTGACACAGTGAGACCCTATTTCAAGAGAGGAAAAAAAAAAAATCTAAGCAAAGAATAAACTAGCTAAGGTAAAGCAAGGGCTTTCTCTTGACATATAAAGATAAACCTGGTGCAGTGGCCCACACCTGTAGTCCCAACTACTTGGGAGGCTGAGGTGGAAGGATCGCTTGAGCCCAGGAGTTTGAGACTAGCCTGGGCAACAAAATGAGACCCCATCTTTAAAAAAACAGAGTGCTGTATTAGATGTCATCACTGCTGGTGCTCACTAAACATCCTGCTAACAAGTAGAGCTTCTGTATCTGTCTTGGGTTTGCCTGGCTTTGTCCCTAGAATTCCTGTAAGTGGAGAACACAGAACAGGATGGTTACTGTTTTGACAGATCATTCCTCTGCCAGATTTAGGAGAGAGGAGTTTTCTTCTAGGGAAAGGAAGGAATGCCTTTAGTGCAATTGATGAGAACAGTGTTTATTTGCCCAGCTGTTGCTACAGCAGCTGGAAGGTGATAGGGTCAGTGATGGAATTCCTAAGACAGAGGAAAGGGAAGCCTGAATGTCATTCTAGAGTGAGAAAAACAGGTGTAGGGCTTTAGGAATAGTCTGAGGGAAGTAGACATAGAGCTCTCAGAGAAAGAAAGGAATGAGATGCTCTGGTTAGCCTACATTCTCTACCACCAGTTCTCCAACTACACCACATTCTAATGTGTCTCTCTCATGACTCTGGAAATAATGGAGCTACCTGTTTTAATATGGGTCAGCATGCTTTGGGCTCCAAAGAAACCTGGCCAGGCTTAAACTGGTGTTCTTCAAATTTGGAATCAGGATCTCTGGGGGAAATTGTTGAGAATTAGTAGAAACTATAGCTATGGGAATACCAAACAGTGCCAAGATAAAAAATGGGTGGCTATGGGCCGAGCGCAGTGGCTCACGCCTGTAATCCCAACACTTTGGGAGGCCAAGGCAGGCAGATCACGAGGTCAGGAGATCGAGACCATCCTGGCTAACATGGTGAAACCACATCTCTATTAAAAATACAAAAAAAAAAAAAAATTAGCCGGGCGTGGTGTTGGGCACCTATAGTCCCAGCTACTCAGGAGGCTGAGGCAGCAGAATGGCGTGAACCGAAGAGGCGGAGCTTGTAGTGAGCCGAGATGGCACCACTGCACTCCAGCCTGGGCAAAAGAGCGAGACTCCGTCCCAAAAAAAAAAAAAAAAATGGGTGGCTATGAAGAGGCATCTAAGGTGGGTCTTTTCCCAGCCTCTCTCTCTCTCAAAGAGCTGGTGCTGTATCAGGTGGCAGGCATAGTATTATACAAGTCTAAATAACTATTTGATAATGCTGTTTGTATCTACAAGATTATCACGTAAGGGTGATGGGGGTTATAGAAACAGCAGGATCCTTTCAGAGAATGTGAAATATCCAAAACCTGTTCTGTGCATCCAGTTAAGGGACAATCATTTGACCAGAAATTGAAAACTGTGCTTCCTTGGGTTCCAGGGTGACAGACCTGAATGCCTGGACGTATTCACATTTTAAACCTAAAAAAAGAAAAAATTGGGGGAGGCTGGGCATGGTGGCTCATGCCTGTAATCCCGGCACTTTGGGAGGTCGAGAGGGGAGGACCACTTGAGCCCAGGAATTGAGATCCCATTACTATTAAAAAAAATACTAGCCAGGCATGGTGACATGAGCCTGTGGTTCCCAGCTACTTGGGAGGCTGAGATGGGCAGATGGCTTGAGGCCAGGAGTTTAAGGCTGCAATGAGCTGTGATTGAGTCACTGCACTCCAGCCTGGGTGACAGAGAGAGACCCTGTCTCAAAATAAAACACACATACATACATACATACATACATAAAACTGAGGGAGGCAGTGGGGGTTTGGGAGGAGGAAATTTTAGGGAAGCCATTGTGCTATATCTGGTAGACTCCCCTGCCAGATAAAAAGAAGGGAGTTTCGGACTAAGATTTGATTCCAAATCTGAGATTTCTCATTAGAAAGAGTTGAAATCTCTATACCCCAAGGACAACAGTCAAATTAAAAGAAAAAAAAAATCGGTTGGGTGCAGTGGCTCACACCTGTAGTCTCAGCACTTTGGGAGACCAAGGCAGGTAGATCACTTGAGACCAGGAGTTCGAGACCAGCCTGGGCAATATGGCAAAACCCTGTCTCTACTAAAAATACAAAAACTAGACAGATGCACACCTGTAATCCCAGCTACTCGAGGCTGAGGCACAAGAAATTGCTTGAACCCAGGGAGGCTGAGGTTGCAGTGAGCTGAGATCATACCAGTGCACTCCAGCCCCCTGGGCGACAGAGCAAGACTCTGTCCTGGGGGGAAAAAAAAAAAAAAATCAATCAACCAACCAACCAATGAACCTAAACGGTTTCCTACATGGACAGCAGCAGACCCCAGACCCCTTAGGCACCTTCATTTTTTTGGCGTGGAGTTTCTCTTCCTTCAGGTGCTCACGCAGAATCTCTCGATGGTTCACCTCCTGTTCTTGGGCAAACTCACAGAGTGTGTAGCTCCGTACAGAGTTATGGCGCTGGGCCATGCCCAGTGAGCTACCACCCTGGCTGGGCACACTGGTAAAACCCTGGCGCCGGGCAAAGTAGTATACAGTCACCTGGTCAAAGCGTACATTCTTCCTCCGCAGCTGCTTCTGCCGCTTCAGGATGGATGTGGCTGAGAAGAGAGCACAGAGAGATGTTTTATTTATTTTTCTATTTACTTATTTATTTATTTATTTATTTATTTTTGGCGTCTCGCTCTGTCACCCACGCTGGAGTGCAGTGGCGCGATCTCAGCTCACTGCAAGCTCCACCTCTCGGGTTCACACCATTCTGCCTCAGCCTCCCGAGTAGCTGGGACTACAGGGTCAGCCCCACTCACGGTAACCTGCCCGGACTAATTTTTCTTGTAATTTTAGTAGGTAAGACCGCGAGAGTATTGCCAACTCACCGTGTTAGGCGGCCAGGCTCAAGCGCGCCAGCACCTGACTCTGACTCTGCCCCGCTTGGTCTCCCACAGTGGCTGGGGATTACCACGGCTGAGCACTGCGCCGCAGCCATACAGTCTATTTAAACTATGTAAGAGACGGAGTCTCGCTCTGTCTAGGCACGGCTAGTGAGTGCGCAACGCCAGGTCTTGGCTCACTGCAGCCTCCACCCGCTCTGGAGTTCCAAGGCGAATTGTCTCTGGCCTCAAGCCTCCTGAGAATCGGGATTACAGTCGTGTTGCCACCCACACCGCCAGCCTTAACACAAGTGTATTTTAATAAGTGAACGAGGTTTTTTTCAGCCATGTTGAACCACAAGTCGCGCTGGTTCTATTGAACACAGCCTGACCCTCCACGGTGAATGTCGCGGCTGCCCACCCTCGGCCCTCGCAAAGCTTGCTGGAATTAAACAGGCGTGAAAAGCCACCCGCGCACCGTGGCACCCAGAAGATGCTTTATTTAAAGCTCCAAGTCGGATGACCTGTTTCTTTTTTTTTGGGCGATATGGGCTTGCTCTTTCTCAATCTCATCTTAGGACTCCCAGTGCAACTCGTCTTCTCTATAACGTTGCGTACTCTATACCAAAGAAAGTAAAACTTGTCTTAATATTCTGCAAAATCACCAAAAGTGCTCTGGCTCAAGAAAGTGAAAACCGTGAAACCTCCAGCTGGTTTTCCATACCGCACTCTGGTCCAGACTGACTAATACAAACAGATTGAACCACAAAATCCATTTTTTTTTTAGACATCAGCTGGAAAGGATCATCTAGTATCTTTTTTTCTGGATATAACAATTCTTATAGCATGACCTGTTCAATACAGGCACTACTAGCCAACATGTGGCGAAAGATTTCAGCTTAAATTAAAAATTAGATAAAAATTTGAGAATTCAGTCTCAGGGCTGGAACATGTGTGCTCATAGGGCCTGTAAAATCTCGCCCAGCCATTTCGGGAAGCTGAAGCGCGGCGCGCGGACAATCCACGACGGGTCAATGAAGGATCAAGACGCATCCTGGCCAACAATATGAAAAAAACCCCGTCCTCTACTAAAAAAAATACAAAAAATTGAGCTGGTTTGTCGGTGTGGCGGTGGCCTGTAGTGCCCAGCCTCGCTGCGGGCGAGCTGAAGGGCAAGGAGAATCAACTTTGACCTGGGAGACGGAGGGTTGCAGTGAGGCCAAGAAATACCGGCGCACTCACTCCAGCCTGGGTGACAGGGCAAGACTCCATCTCAAAAAAAAAAAAAATTCAGCTCAATTATACTAACCATATTTCTTTATTTTCTTTTTTCCTTTGAGACAGGGTCTTGCTGTGTCACCCAGGCTAGAGTACAGTGGCACAATCACTGCTCACTGCAGCCTCAACCTCCCAGGCCCAAGTGATCCTCCTACCTTAGCCTCCAGAGTAGCTGGGACTAGAGGTGCACGCCACCACACCCAGCTAATTTTTGTATTTTTTGTAAAGACGGGGTTTCGCCATGTTGCCCAAGCTGGTCTCAAACCCCTGAGTTCAAGTGATCCACCCACCTCAGCTTCCCAAAGTGCTGAGATTACAGGCATGAGCCACTGCACCCGGCCACTAACCACATTTCAAGTGCTCAATAGCCACATATGGCAACTGGCTACTGTTGGACGATGCAGATACAGAACATTTCTATCGTAACAGAAAATTCCATTCGACAGCACTGATCTGCAGCAGGGGACAGCGAACTGTCAAGGGCCAGACAGTAACTATTCTAGGCTCTACAGGCCATGAGGTCTCTGTTGCAATAATTCAACACTGCCACTGTAGCGTGAAAGTAATCACAGACAATGGGTATGACTGTGTTCCAACAAAACTTTAGTTTCAAAACAGACATTGGGCCAGATTTGGCCCATGGGCAACCCTTCATATATAGTATCAGAAGTTCTTTCCCAGAACTAACAGACCCGTAAGAATTAAGAAATCTTGGCCAGCCACAGTGACTCACGCCTGTAATCCCTGCACTTTGGGAGGCTGAGGCGGGTGGATCACCTGAGTCCAGGAGTTTGAGACCAGCCTGGCCAATATGATGAAACCTTGTCCCTACTAAAAACACAAAAAATTATCCGGGCGTGGTGGCGGGCGCCTGTAATCCCAGCTACTCAGGAGGCCTGAAGCAGGAGAATCACTTGAACCCAGGAGGCAGAGGTTGCAGTGAGCTGAGATGGCGCCACTGCACTCCAGCCTGGGCAACAAGAGCGGACTCCGTCTCGAGAAAAAAAAGAATTAAGAAATCTGGATTTGCCCCAGTTGTCCAAGCAGCAAGCATTTATATCCTGCTACAGCTCAATTTCCTGGAACTCTCTGGGACTCTGGTGGGGGCAGGGTAGAGTCCTGGACTCCTTCTTCAATCTAATTTAACCCATTCTGGGAACCAGCAACCCACAACACAAGTAAAATCAGCTAGAATAAATCAGACTTCAGTCTACAGTATTAGAGAAATGAGGTCCTCCAAAGAGCAAGGAAAGATGATGATTAAGGGCAAATCCCCAAGCCACATAGAAGCTGCTTCAAGCTGCCATGGGTTCTACTGCTTGGGGAATGTGGGTATAGGCAGGGAGGGAGTAGCTTACTCACGTGTGAAGCTGGCAGTGGTAGGAGGATTGAGGCTGTCGCAGCTGTCAGCACTATCGCTGCTGGAGATCTCATCATCCGAGTTGGAAACTGATGAGCCCACATCCACATCATCAAACTTCCTCTTGAGACCCGAGCCCGTGAATGCATCCATTGGTTTCAAAGGGGTTTCCTTGGGGAGCCCAACAAGTTGGCCCCAAAGCCCCTGCTCACCACCAGCTAGCCAGGTACATTAGGATTCTGCCCAGGGAAAAAAAGGAATCAGCATTCCTGTCCCAAGACAGACCCCTCCCCAGTCTACACACACAGCTCTCTAAAGCACGCACCTCACCTAGCACTGACGTCTGCTTTCTCAACATTATGTTCTTTCTCTACTAGCTCTGGCCAACATTCTCCTACTTTCATTTCCCAACAGCCCCTCCATTCTTAGTCACTCTTAGAATAATGAGATGGGTAGCAGCGGCACCTTTCCCAGTGGAGGGAAGGCCTTTGCTTCCAATCCAGCTGGGGTCTAGGCTTCATTAGCCCAGGAATCACAGTAGCTGCTCTTCTGATCACATAGGAAAGCTCTCCAAGGGACCAGTGAGAAGAACTTGAGATCAAAAACACAATTATCACTGCTACTTGTTTGGTTGGCAAAAAAAGAAAAAAAGGGAAAAAAAGCAGAATTAGGCTTTGCCTAAACCAAGACTAGACCCAACTATTTATCTATTTTAGAGACAGTGTCTCACTGTGTTGCCCAGGCTGGTCTTGAACACCTAGACTCGAGCAATCCTCCTGCCTCAGCCTCCAGAGTAGCTGGGACTACAGGGCACATGCCACTGAACCCGGCTAGACCCACTTATTTTTCCTAGTGATAATACAGCCCGGCATTTCCCAAAGTGCCTATCTTATGGTATTAATAGCTTTTACATAGAAATGGGACTGCTGTGTCAAAAGGGTTTTAAAAATTGCCTATAGTGGAACCTCTTAGAGGTTTTTAATATACTAATAAGGATGGTGACGGCTGAGAGAACACAGAACGCAGTGTTTCTACAAACCTGATTATGGAACCTACTGTTTCCAAGGTATTTTAGAGTGCAAATAATGCTTGGAATACACTTTGGGAAATACTGCTTCAGGCACTCAATTTTGAAGGACATTAGCAGTCAGGAAAACCCTTTACCCAGATCTTCACAAGTGTAAAGTGTCTCACCAGGCTTCTATAAAGGTCAAATTTGGTACCAAAGAATGGACCCAAGATTAGAATCTGCATGGCTTCAAAACCCAGAATCTTTCCCAATCTCATACTGCTCCATAAAATAGGGCTCATCTGGTCTGTCACCATCCTCTGTGCAAGGACATCGTAGCTTTACAATCTTTGCCCTCTATAAAGAAATCAGCAAGGGGAAAACAAATAGCAAGAGAAGTAACAATTTATTCTGGTTATATCAATATGGCAAGCAGTGTTGTTTTCAACACGCTTTAATACAACCAAGGAGGCTGAGATAGTCCATTTCCTAGGTACAAATCTTTTTCCTCCATCTTTGGATTTAAGTTCCAGAAGGACACGAATCTGCTCAGCAGAAATGCTGTCAGAGCGGGAGCCATGTGTGATGAGACACGAACCCTCCCTTGCCTCAGTAATGCCAGAATCTCCCCAGACTATGATCTCACTAGTTGCTAATTATGCAGCAGGAATAACAACACTGCCCAGAACGACAGGGCTGCATTACTGCAGAGCAGCTACCCAGAATATACTGTGGTGTTAAGAGATGCCTGCTACAGAGCTGTTTTTCTGGACTGTGTCTGTTGGAAGCAATTTGCCTGCTCTTGGATCAGCTCTACAAAGTCAACCAGACCTAATAAGTACCTTAGAGAAGGTATTTCCTAATCTATCCAGATTGCATCCAATTCTGCATTCAAGTCACGAGATGTACCTAAGAAACCTCAGCCATCAGAAGTCTAGACAAGCACATTCCTGAAATAAATTTGGCCAGGGAGGAAAAAAAAGAATCAAATATTTGATAAAAATTGTAATTAAATTAAAAAACACGCCCAAAGTATCGGTTCAGTTCTTCAGGTTACTGATCTTACCATCAGAGGTCACATTCTTAGGGCACGGTAAGAAAGGAGCAAGCCGAGGGCTTTTTATGGGTTAAGATTTTAGCTGAGTTTAAAGATACCCATCAACAAGAAGACATTTATGCAGCCCACAGACACATGAAAAAATGCTCGTCATCACTGGCCATCAGAGAAATGCAAATCAAAACCACAGTGAGATACCATCTCACACCAGTTACAATGGCGATCATTAAAAAGTCAGGAAACAACAGGTGCTGGAGAGGATGTGGAGAAATAGGAACACTTTTACACTGTTGGTGGCACTGTAAACTAGTTCAACCATTGTGGAAAAGAGTGTGGCGATTCCTCAAGGATCTAGAACTAGAAAGACCATTTAACCCAGCCATCCCATGACTGGGTATACACCCAAAGGATTATAAATCATGCTGCTATAAAGACACATGCACACGTATGTTTATTGCGGCACTATTCACAATAGCAAAGACTGGGACCAAACTCAACAATGTCCATCAATGATAGACTGCGCGGATTAGTAACATGTGGCACATATACACCCATGGAATACTATGCAGCCATAAAAAAGGGTGAGTTCATGTCCTTTATAGGGACATGGATGAAGCTGAAACCATCATTCTCAGCAAACTATCACAAGGACAAAAAACCAAACACCGCATGTTCTCACTCATGTGGTGGGAACTGAACAATGAAACACCTGAACACAGAGTGGGGAACATCAACATACCGGGGCCTGTTGTAGGGTGGGGGAAGTGGGGAGGGATAGCATTAGGGAGATATACCTGATGAAATATGGAGTTGATGGGTGCAGCATACCTAAACATGGCCACTGTATAACATACGTAACACAACTTGCACGTTGTGTACATGTAGCCTAGAACATAAAGTATAAAAAAAAAAAAAAGATACCTCATCAACAAACAAACTTCTCATTCCATTCTATTGTAGTCAGGGAGGAGAACACTTGTGACTGAATACTTATGTTGGTGGGACTTTTTAGAGATAGAATTTTACGGTGGCTCACGTCTGTAACCACCACTTTGGGAATCCGAGGCAGGCAGATCACCTGAGGTTGGGAGTTCAAGACCAAGCCTGACAACAGGGAGAAACCCTATCTCCACTAAAAACAAAAAATAAAAAAATTAGCCAGGCGTGGTGGCGCATGCCTGTAATCCCAGCTACTTGGGAGGCTGAGGCAAGAGAATCGCTTGAACCTGGGAGGTGGAGGTTGTGGTGAGCCAAGATCACACCATTGCACTCCAGCCTGTGCAACAAGAGTGAAACTGTCTCAAAAAAAAAAAAAAAAAAAGATATATAATAATATTGCCCACTGAATTTAATTTTGCCTCCCCACTTATCAGCCATATGATAAATCTGACTGAGCTAAAAATCTGCTTTCTCAGAAAGGGTTTTAGGCCCACCTGAGCTGTAACTGAGCTCCAGTTAGTGCTGCTACTAGAAGAGTGGCCTTTGGCCAGGCACAGTGGCTCACACCTGTAATCCCAGCACTTTGAGAGGCTGAGGGAGGCAGATCACTTGAGTCCAGGAGCTCGAGACCAGCCTGGGCAACATGGCAAAACCCCGTCTCTACAAAAAATACAAAAATTAGCTGCGTATGGTGGTGTGCGCCTTTAGTCCCTGCTACTTGGGAGGCTGCTACTTGGGAGGCTGCTACTTGGGAGGCTGAGAGGATCACTTGAGCCCAAGAGGTCCAGGCTTGCAGTGAGCTGTGATTGCGCCACTGCACTCTAGCCTAGGGGACATGTCAAGCGAGACCTTGTCAAAAAAAAAAAAGGAGGGAGGGAGGGAAGAGAAGAAAGAAGGCAGGCAGGCAGGCAGGCAGGCTTTTTGCTCAGCCTGGAAACACTCAAGGATTTATGACTGGAAGTAAATGTCCACTCCTGTTCTTTCCTCAGGTGTCCCCAGGCTTCTGGTAGCATCTCCTTTGAATATTTTTCTCTAAGCCCCATATGAACTTGGGTCTGCTCCAAAATCATCTTTATTACTAGAATTCTCCACGGTCTTAACCCGGTTGCCCTCAGGAGTATCAGTTCTCTCTAGGTTACTTTTTGTGAGCTTGGATGCAGCAAGGATTGCTGGCTGCTTGTTCTATTCTCCTCCTCCTACTTCTGGAATAGTGGTTTCTGGGCAATGATAGGAGATAGGTAAGAAAGAAGAAAAAAGATGTGACACCTAGGAGAAAAGTATTTTCCTTAAGCTGTCTGAGAATAAGTAGAACCTATGGCTATGTGTGTAAATAACATGTATACTGACTTATGGTCAAACTCTTCCATTCACGTGGATGGCACTCAGGGAAATCCTCAAGGAGACTCCATTGCGCTCTTCACCCTACCCAGGCTGTTAGCAGCATTTTTTCTGACATTAGCTCCATTATTTTTTTAAAAAGAAAAAAGATCTATTATGTCCCAACAACCAATATAAGATTAAATTTCAACCCAGCTCCCCTTGTCCAAGTCTCTGATATGAACTTGACTTTTAGATAAAGATGTTCACTGGGCACCAAGAACAAACCTCCTGTTCACTTCCATTAGTGCCCTGAAGAAATCCTTCTTTGGGAGGCTGAGGCAGGAGGATTGCTTAAGGCCAGGAGTGCAAAACCAACTTGGCCAACACAGCGAGACCCTGTGTACTTTTGAAAAATTGGTCCGGCATGGTGGCACATGCCTGCAATCCCAGCACTTCGGGAGGCCAAGGCAGGCAGATCACTTGAAGCCAGGAGTTCAAGACCAGCTTGGCCAACATGGCAAAACCCTGCCTCTATTAAAAATACAAAAACTAGTTGGGCATGGTGGTATGTGCCTGTCGTCCCAGCTACTTGGGAGGCTAAGGCGGGAGGATTGCTTGAACCCAGGAGGCAGAGGTTGCAGTGAGCCGAGATTGCGCCACTGCACCCCAGCCTGGGTGACAGAGCTGGGGTGACAGAGCCAGACCCTGTCTCAAAAAAATAAATAAATAAAATATTTTTTTGAAAAAAGAAATCTTTCTTTGCAATAGTAACAGAATAGTTTCCATACTTTCCAATTCATCAAATTAATCTTTCAAGCTACAACTAGAAAAATCAGTCATTCCTACCTCTCTCAATTATTCATTGGTAGAGGATCAATGCCCGTGTTCAAGAGATACATTTGTTAAGTTTTAGCACCTGGGAATGCAGGTAAAAACTGACAGTTAACTGTCAAAATGACCAACTCAACAAATGCTTTTGGAGAAAATAACGCAACCCTCTTTAAAGCTTTTAAATGCCAGTGAAATGAAAGGTCAGTTGACACTTTCTGGCTACATGTCTAATGGTCTTTTCTCAAGGGTTTCTAGCTGAAGATTTCCCAATGGTATACGAAATAGTTAAGATCCAGAGCATAGAAGACATCAGGCTAGCACCTAATAAAGAGGTCTACCAGCATATATGTATTTTAGTACTAGATCTAAGTTTTTTTCAGGACTATAAGGATTCCTATAACCACCAAAACAAACAAATAAAATTTTAAAAAAAAAACAAAACATCATATGTGAGACCAGCAAGAGGGACTGCCCAGGCAAAATTTTCTGGAATAATCTATTTGCAAAGTTTAGGTAATATGTGTCTTCTTAAATAAGTCCAAAGTAATAAGCTGCATCTCACAGGAGAAAGCGTCTTCACTTGACTGGAACCCAGCCTTCTGCGAAAGGTCAAGGAATCACAATCTCCAGTAAGATGGTCAGGGCTACCATCTGTAGCTGGGTTGGAAGAAGGCAGGCTTGCTGCTGTGTTATGATAAACCTGAATAAAATAACCTGCCCTGTTTCTCCTTTTACAAGATACTGTAGTTTCTCAAATACTATGGATTTCATGGATCCATGTGTCTTTGTGATCACCAGGATCATGAACTTATAAAGCGCTCAAATGAAAACCCCCGGCTTAAGCCAGGTGTTTAAAGAAAGCCGTGCACTCACCACCCCCACTCCCTGATTTGTACCCATTCGCTAATACAAGGTTAGAATTTTCCATGCCTAAACTACCATCGTGTGGAAGACAGATCTTTGTGGGAATTGGAACATGATGCTGCATTAACTCTCAAGGATATCCAGTCATTTATAACACCGGCACAACCAACATCCTGGCTTTGCGGATTTGCAAGACAGAAAGCCAGTGAAGAAAAAATCTGAACTATGGATTTACCTTGAACTGAAAACTGCAGGACAAGGGGACAGTGTTGTCTTGTGGGGATAACTTCTAGCATTTCATTTTGAAGAACAGTTTGTGTGTCACACTGTCACTCTCAACCCCTTTAAAAGGATGAATCAAGACCACAGCCCTAAAAGGGAAGGGTGGCAGTTGGCTGCGTGTTTGGGCCTATGAAAAAAGATCAAGCTAGCAACCAGGGCCACTGATGCTTTCATTTTCCCACACGACGCCAAAAACACGGGAGACATCAGGAACAGGAGCGAAGGGACATGTCAAGTCACCAGTTCCCTTTAATGAACACTCCTTCCGAACCCTTCAGCCCTCGGTCGACTTCCCTCTGATTCCTCCTAACCTTCCCGCTCATTCCAATCCTCTGCAGCCCCTACCCAGCCTTCCTCATCCCTTCCTGCCTGCTACTCACAAATTCCCAACCACTCCTCCCACATTTTCCTCTGTTCCCCCTCCCCTTCCTTCACTTTCCTCCATCCTACATCATTCTCCACTCCATTCCGAACTCAATCCTCATCCGCAATCCTGCAGGCTTCCAAGCCGCCCATCGGTCTCCCGCGAGCTGCCCCCGCAGTCCGGGCCCGCGTCCTCCGTGCCCCTCGCTCCCACGCCTCTTCCCGACTCGGTTCCTTCCCAACGGCACCCGACCTCCCCGCCCCCCGACCGCTCCCGTCCGAGCCTCTCGTTTCTGACCCCTCCATCCGCACGGCTCTGGGCTTGACCACTCCTCCACGGCCGCCCGAGGGCCGATCCCGAGAAAGGACGAGGCGGCACCCTCCGCCCCGCACCCCTAGGCCCATTACCGGCCCCGCCGCAGCTGCCTCCTCCCGTGATGGTCTCTGCCGCCCCCGCTGCCGCCGCCGCCCTAGCCCGGGTGGGAAGGAGGGAGGAGCGAGCGAGTCCCGGGCCCCGCGGCGACGGCCGGGGAGCTTCCAGGGCGGCAGGGCGGGGAGGGAGGGCGGTGGGCAGCCCAGCCGG